GATGATTAAAATCTCAATTTTTCTTGCTCAAAGAAAAATTATTCAAGATGATAAACTTGGAGTAGGCTCGAGTTTGAAGTATTTTTCTCTTTTATGTTGAATTGGCTTTCACTGGGAAAAGGAAGAGTCACTGTTTTCAGAAGGCTACACTGGGGTAGGGCAGAAGGTACTGTGGGGCAATCAATGCAAATGTGGAAGGGGCTTCCCTGTGAATTTTGTGCTTCTTTCTATACAGGGGCAATGGCACATACAATTTTCTCCTCCTAAGAATATAAGAAACACTAGACCCTGGGTCAGACCCATAGACTGTCCAGTGTAGTGTTTTTTTCTGTCCGTGATACTCAGGGCTGTTTTTCGAGAGAGCATGAGTTTCTTCTGTAATACCATCCTCTAAAGGTTAGGGAGTGTGTGCCAAACATCCTGAGCTCCTCTCATTAGGAACAGAGTCCTTTCATTTGATTCAATGGGATTGGCATATTGAGCCTGGCAGGTCAATCTTATGTGAATGGCCAGTAACTGGCTGCTTTGTTAATTGCAAAGCATATTTTGCCAAATGATTTCATCCAAAAAAGACCTCTTAAATAACTTTCGATATTCTTTGACCTCCTGATATTTTTTATATTATTCAGATGAACTCACTGTAAATGTGTGACTGAGTTATGTTACTAGAAGAAAACCTAGCATTTGGTTCTGAAAATGGGGAAGGGTGGGGCTGACTGTAGTAATTGCTACGATAGGATGCCACCTGAAGGAAGTAGATTGGTTCTATTAGCCAGGATGTGATCAGAGGAACATTTAGCTTTGAGGGTCAGGACTGTGGAGGTAATTGTGGACCCAAATGTACAAAGGTTTATACAGAGCCTACTTGATCTACTTAGCCAGAGCGCATTCATTTTATACTCATTTATGCTTTTAGCCAGCTGACGCTTTTTCATGTTTCAGTGTATTCAGATTGTTGGCTTGCTGATTAGGCTCACAAGTAAAATTGAGACCCTTTTGTAGTGCTACTAGTAGATTACAGGACTGACACTTGCCTCATGGACAGACTAGGGCATATTAAGCTTTTACTATGCAATTGTGAGGAACATAATATGGGCCATGTATTATAATGGGGTGGGAGAAGATACTTTTTAAAAATGCTCTTGTGTTGAGGGTCACTGCATTAGAGGATAATAGTTTTAAATGAAGCCACATTTCTAACAAGGGGCCAGATAATGAGGATAAATGAAATCTGTAGACAGTCTCGAAGCTTCATTTTAGCCATTATTTATAATCTCTTCTCCTACCAAACCTTTTACTATGTAGCAAAATTGATTAATTTATGTGTATCTCTTCTCTGTGCCCACATGCTGTCTGATAGAGGAGTGAACAAATAGAGAAATGGACAAGAGAGGAAAGAGGATGGGGCTGAGGCCAGGTGGAGTTAGGGATGCATAATCCCCAAACTGGATAATCAACCCCAGAATAATCAAGATATATTTTAGGGTCCTAACATTAATCTTGATATTTAATCATTCTGAGCAATATTAAAAACAAAAGATTGTATAATAGCATTAATAAAAATCACTTGCTATGGAATGGTTCAGAATAAATATGGCTTTCTTTTTAGCATGAAATAGGAATCTGTTGAACTGGTCTTAATGTTCTCTCAGCACACACAGATACAGCTCTGTTTAATTCCATATCCTCTTATCTATAAGTCCTACATTTAATTTACTACCATTCGAGTTGATTTATAGCCTTGCTTAGCAAAAGTACAGTCTTGATTAAAAGAATATTATCACAGCTGATGGGCTTGAAAGCATTATTTTCCTTAGACTCTCTAATTTTGAAAATGACCTGCAGATTCCCATAAGGCTAGATTTGCAACTCTCCAGTTTTTGCCCACCTGGCTGTACTTTGGACAGTGGTAGAATTAGTTGACATAGTGTTCCCACATGCTGTCTCCTTATCCATCCTTAGAAACAGAACTTTACTGCGATAGAGTTGTAGAGCAGGTCTGCTTCAGGAAATCCTAGTTCCCTGGTTAGCTGATCTCTTATCTAGCTTACAATTGCAACTATATCCTTTATCTCTTGGGATGCTGCTGGGCCGAAGGATTCTCCAATCTGTGTAAGGGAGGATTCAATTATTATGTATGAGGGTTACATTTTGGAGTCGCAGCTGTGACAGATGCCTCCCTCAAACAATATGGAATTAGTTTTGGTGCTCATTTCATTGGAGATGACTTAATTTGCAAAGCCAGTGATTTCCACAGGTCGGCCACAATCGGTCATTCTCCACAGCAGGCCGTTTTCCACTCTCCTGTTTTGATTGTGCAGTATGATTATTTGGTGGCATCTGTGAGTCTAGGAGCACAGAAAATGTTTTTGCTCAACAGGTGACAAAAAGCTATTATGCTCTGGTTCTGTTAAAAACATTATTACCATTCTTCTGATTCTAATAGTTGAAAAAAATTAGTCACTGTGGCGTTTTGGCTTTACAGCTTTGTGAAGAATATTTTTGACCTATGAAAAAAGTTATTTCTAACAAAGGATTTACTTTATAAGCACCATGCATGCAGTTCAGCTTACAAGGGCTTTCAAATGTTTCGAATCATAGGAACCCAGAAAATAATTAAAAGTTGTAAATGTGGCACTAAATCATAATGGGAGAATTTTGATGTTTTTTTCTTATCGAATTTGATGGTGGGGCCTTGTCAAAATGCAAAAAGTAAATAAAGCAATCTTGTAATTTTTATTTTGGTTACTGTATCTTTTCTACCCCCCCCCCCACACACACACAGAGCTTTATTGAGATAGCATTCACATGCCATACAATTAATCTTAACTTTTTTTACTTGTCAGAAATTTTTAAACCCTAGTAATTTAACATTTTTGTTGAAGAACACAGAATGTACCCCTATGAAGAAAGGATGTACGTGTCTAGCCCCCCATTTGCCTAAATCACTTTTTCCCCCAATACATAGCCACAGTTTTTCAGAGCTAGAATGGTTATGAGAGGTTATCTAGTTAAACCAGAACAAAAAGCACCTGGGGAGTTGTTCTTTTTCAAACTATACTTGTTGAAGCATGAAACTTCCCAAAATTCTGATAAACTTTGCAGCCCCCATCCCCACTCCATGCCATTTAAATATCACTGATTTCGTCTCACACTCTCATCTCACAGATAGAGAGACATTCTTCCTCTCCCAATTTTGACTAGACACCTTAATAAAATTCTTTTCAATTTTAACACGATAGATTTTTGATAAATAGAGTTAAAGATTTAAAATTCACTTCAGTGAATGATGGAGCATAAATTACTTATGCTGTATATTTTTAAAAACAAATTATGAAGAGTCTGATATTGTCAAAGGAAAACAATTTCAAAGTCACTGATCAGGAAGTCAGTATACAGAAAATGTTGCAAATTTGTCACTGTCTCAGTACTATGTCAGGCACTGGGGAGATTAGTAGATGTCCTTTATCCTGGAAATGCCTGATAGCTAAGCACTCATATTTCTTCTCAGCTGTCCCCAGTCATTTCCCACAGGGTATGGGAAGCCTTATTGTGTTAGTTTTTAAACAGCTGCCCTGGTTGCATTTTTAGCAGAAGGAGATTCATAAGGATACTGATATTAAAGAGATAGAAGAAATAGCCACAGAGATATGCTTTAATAAAACACATAAACTGCTCAAAAGATCTGATAGGCTCTAATGGATGGATGTGTGAAGACCTGGGGAAAGAATGAAATGGATTTCCCAGAGGACTTTTTATTCCCTGAAAAATTGGAAAATTTCAGACTAAGGGCAGAAGAAGTGAAAGTGGTTTTCATTGACCCCTTTTCCTCTTCTAGACTTTTACATGTATATAAGTGGAAAGAATAAAGGTCTATGACTTCACTCACTTGCTCTGCAAAGAAGCCTCCGTCCTGGGCAATAATGTTTACCTGGTCATACATCTTCCCTCCAGTACCTTGAACAACCTGATCCTCCACTTGGGAAGTACTGATCAAAGGCAATCACAGATTTAGAAGACCAGAATACAGTTGTTATGCTTTTGAAAATTTTTTGTTACCATCAGTGCTTATAAAGAAGTTAAGAACTTTTAGTGATTATGTGAGATATGAGGGGGAAAGACAGATTCCTTTCAATTGCACGCTAATCAAAGGAAAAGTACAATATTTTTTTAAGTAGTAATAAATTGCCCATGCTTACTTAGAAGAGTGCCATTTTAAAGGCATTACCACAAGTTTGTTTCACATAAAAGAAAAAAAAAGTTGCAGTGGTCTCTTGGCTAGTATATAGAGAAACTGTGTAAAAAACGTCCTGCCCCAAAGTGATTTGAAATGTTTATTGCTCTTAAATTGAATAGTGCTGTGTGAGGGCAATGGTGTATATGGTCAGTGAGTGGTTGCAACTGGCCCAACTGGCCCATTCTAAGCCATAATACATTTTTTACCGTCTGTGCCGGATGATGATGTAGGATCTGGTTGTTTTCATTATTTTTGCTTCAGTCTTTCTTATCTGTGTGTGCTTACCTGCATATAATCCAGGGCTTTAAAGAGACTAGACAGTTTGGGAGGGGTTAAGCACTGGAATTTTTGGAACTTTATCCAAAGTGGTGAGTATATGTGCAAAACAGGATGGTTGTTTGCTCTCTCTTTGAAGTCAGTTCCCTTTGTCTCATTCCTTGTTGTCATGACCCACAGTTTGGGAGTGGGGGCAGAATTCTTGGCATCAACTGTCTTGCTCTACACACAGCCCCAGAATGGTTGTTCCTGTTTTCCAAAACAGAATAGCATAGCCGAGTGCATGTTGGGTACATGCACTTCCATATTTTCAGTCTCCGTGGCCATAATAATGGCCAAAGTCAAAGCTTTGGAAAGAGAAAATTGATATACCCTCCTAAAAACAAGGAAAAAGGAAGAGCTGCATTCTCTTAAAAGTTAAAATATAACCTTTTCTTTCTGATTCTATGAAGAAGACTGTACTAATAAAACTGCCAATTTCTTTCAGGTGGGTGTACATGGCATTAGAATAGAATTCATCAATGAAAAAGGATCAAAACGCACCGCCACCTACCTACCGGAGGTTGCAAAGGAGCAAGGTCATTGTTGTACTTTATTTCATGTAATCTGGTGAAGAATTTAGACAAATATGCAAATTGAAAAGCGTTATCTGACCTTGCAGTTTTATGTCTGATAATTGATCAATGTCAAATTATAAAAAATGACTCTTCCATTACTGCCACTGCAATGTCTGTATCAAATTGGTAAACTACTCACACAGAAGTTGAATCCCTGCACTGAAGTTTGACAGCATAAACACATAAATATGCTTTTAAAAAAGCAAAGATTTGTAAAATTTGAGTTTTATTTTAGGCAACAATTTACTACTAATTTGAAATACCATTTTCCTATATTCCATTGTGCTGTAGATCGTGGCATGAACAAGCCTTTTGTTTGACAGTCAGCCACATAGTTCATTGTCATTGTCAGTATCAAATGTTTCATTCTTAGTTGGCTGCCATTACTCATTCTGCTAATATTAAGATTGTAGGTTTCCCATTAAGATTGGGAGCATTGAAAATACATGAAGCATTAGTGTTTTATATGCTTGGTCTATACTTCCTAATCAACAAATATTTTCCTATTTTGCAGATATAGCACAGACTTTTATGAACCAACCTTATAACCAACAAAGTAACTTTTCACTCTGTAGTATTTTGTCTTTTCTAGCCACTACCAAATTTTAGTTTCACGTTAGTTGAAATGAACATATCTTTTATCGTATGGAGCTTTTCTTCTCATCAGAAAGCATTTGTAATTTGATTTTCCCGTGTTTATTCACATAAATGTGAGATACATAACAGCAAAATTTAATGTCATTAAACCCCCAACTAAGAAAGGCTTTTAAGGCACTTATGTAAAGATTTATTTGGGTTGCAGTAGAAACTGTCTTAATCCTGCAGTATCAGTGACTTCATAAAGCACACTTAAAAGATAGATGGCTTCAGATATTAGTATACCATCTGTATCAGAAACAATAAAAATGCCCTTGAATATCGCACACAAATGTACTTGATTGATTACAGACGATACCACAAGGAACAGCAATTACCATGAAGTAGAGTGGGAGTCCTAAATACTCTTGAGTTGGCACCATGATATTTAGGCCTTTCCCTCCCTTTTTAAAGATGTCACTGTTAGAGGAGAGTACCATGGTTGTGGTTTGTTACAGAGTCATGACTGAGCACTTTCTGCCAGCCTCGTAGATTATTTGCCTTTGAATGTGGTTGAGATAAACAAGCCAATGTTGTTAGACATTGTGGATAGCTAGAATTTAAGGTGTGTGGTGATGAACCTGCTTTTTGTATAGGATGAAATCTTATCTTAGCTCCTCTGTGTGATTGTTTTTAAGATCAAAATGAATCTGGTGAAATGGTGACAGTGATAGCTGACTTCTGCAAAGTCATTTTATATTTAACCAAAGGTGTGTTATATGTGCTTGACTGACATTTTATCTGGTCTGCTCTCCACAGGATGGGACCATATTCAGACCATAGACTCCTTATTGAGGAAAGGAGGATACAAAGCTCCGATTACTAATGAATTCAGGAAAACCATAAAACTGACCAGGTACAGAAGGCGTTTTCTACCGCAAGGTTAACCAGTACATTTCAGTGCGTATGCCTATAACCCTTTGATTTCTTTCGTCTGTCTAACTACACTTGCTTCTCTTTTCTGAAACAGAGTGGAAATGAATGGCAGGGCCATACTGAGGGTGGATACGATGGAACTCTGCTTGGCAGTAAAGTCTGTATGATATATGAGCCCATCCTTCCCATCTTTAGCTCTGTGTGATTACTCTGGCTTTGAATGAGCAAGCCCTTGGAGACTTTAGACTACGTTATTGGAGAAAGTACCTGAATTAGCTATTGCCTAGCTTTTGACCTTCCTTAGCATAACCCCAGGATTCTGATAAGCAGTCCTCAAATTTGAATTTAACCTTAGAATGTTGGCAGTAATAATAAGTCTACCATGAAAGCTTACTGAAAAACACAACTGAGCTAAACTCAAATGCTAAATAAATTTCAGCATGGAAAAATAGGGATACTTATTTTAAAAGGAAAAATATCAAATATTTTAGGAAAACAGGTTGCTGTTTCCATTTATTTCAATTCCACAAAACCATATTGAAGGCCTATAGTCTAAAAATGAACTATTCTCAGCTCTGAGTAGTTACAAATTTGAAAATGCTTCCATCTCTGCTCTCCCTGAGTTCACAGTTGAAAAAAATAAAAGGGAACATAAAAAAATAATTGTTAATCTAAGGCAGAATATGATGGATGACATAAGATCATAAAATAGGGAAAGAGGAGTTCCAGGTGGGAGATAATGGAAGGTTTCAAAGAGGAGGTCAATTTGGAGCTAGACTTGAAGAATGGATAGAATATGTGACAGGTGGAGAGTAGGGGAGGAAAGGGATTCATTTAAAGAGGACCTTATGAGTCAAGGCATGTAGGTGGCGAGGTACAGAGCAAGTTCTGAGGCATGCAAAATAGTCTGATTTGGCTGGTCTTTCATTATACATAAGGAAGGTGGTCATTAGAGGAAAATATACCCCCAAAACTATCATAGGTTGGGTCAGACCACTGAAGGTCTTAAGTCCCAGACTAAGACATTTGGACTTGGTTCTATAGGCAGTTGGTAGCCATTGAAGGATTTTAAGCAGATGAACTTGGGGAGGTGTAAGAATGGAGTTGGAAGAAGGAAAATGAGCTAGGAAACATTGAGAATCTAAGAATCTATGGCAGCAATCCAAAGAAGTGCAAGGGAGGCCTTAACTTAGATCTGTGACGGTGGGATGGGAAGAAAGATGGGGACAGATAAGAAAATATTGTGGAAGAAATGAAAGGATTTGCTTATCATTTAGAAGTAAGGAAGTTAAAGCTGTGATCTAGATAAAGGGACCCAGGTCATCCCTTTAACCAAGGTAGGGACCACAGGAGGAGAGTGTTAGGTTTATGCATTGATTCTGGATTTGAAATGCTTCCTGGGATATCTATATGGAAATGTCTAGTTGGGGTGGGGAACCTGCAGTGTTGGGGCCACATGTGGCCTTCTGGATCCTTGAGTGTGGCCTTTTGGTTGAATCCAAATTTTACAGAAGAAATCCTTTTAATAAAGGATCTGATACTCTGGGATCATTGTAGAGAGGTCATAGTTGAAGTTGTAAGGATAGGGTTTGCTGAGGGGGACAATATGGAGTCAAAAGAACTGACGATAGAAATATAGGGAAATCCTGCAAGGCAGAGGGAGGAGGAGCATTCAAAGAAGTAAGGGGCACTCTGAGAGGCAGAGAGAGGACCAGGCGCACGTGGAGGTGTAGAACCCATGGGACCAGAGAGCTTCACAAAGGGAGCTGCGAGCAGTATCATAATGGAAAGAAAGGTCAAGCCCAATCGGGGGCAGCCTTCTGATAGAGCCATTTCCGGGGAAGAGTGGCAGCAGAAGCCAAGGGGCACTGGGCCAGGGAGTAGTATTAGATGGGGATTGAAGGCGGAAAATATACTTTACTCTTTTGAGAAGTGTGGCAATGAAAGAAAGCTAGGCATGGGGAAAAGAGAAGGTTCAGGAAATCAGGATTAAGAAAAGTTGTTGTTGTTACTTAATGGCAAGACCTAAGATATGTGGGCAGAGAAAGGGAACATAAAAGAGGGAGAGATGGAAGATCTCTGCAGAAAAAAAGTCAAGTGGATGAGATATGTACATAATAGTAAAAGGCTGGTTTTCCCCTCTTCCTCCCTGTTTGCAAACCAGGGCTGAGGGGGCAGTAACATTCCAAAACAATTTAAACAAGGAGTAGTAGAGTGGAAAGAACACTGGGCTCAGAGTTTGGATTCCTGGGTTCTGATCTCAGTTTTGCTACTTACTAGCTCTATGACCTCAGGCAAGTCACTGCTTCTCCCTGGGCCTCTTTTCCCAATCTATAAAATTATCTCTAAGGCCCCTCCTACCTCTAACAACAGCATGTCACCTATTTCTCAACATTAACTTTTCCTTGACATTCTTTCAGGTACCGTAGTGAAAAGATGACCCTGAGCTATGCTGAATACCTTGCTCATCGCCAGCATCATCATTTCCAAAATGGCATTGGGCATCCCCTTCCGCCATACAACCATTATTCCTGACACTGAGCCGCACAACCAGTCACTGGGCCTCTCTGAAGACCTCTTCCCAGGAGACCCCACACCTTCTTGGTCTAGCTATCTCTTTTACTGTACCATTTTATGATGATAGTTTCCGTTGCCATGGTGAAGCTTTGACGTCGTGAATTAAGATCATCATGGTAACGGGTAGGAAAATGGCATTTGTTAAGAAGATTCTGTTTTGTTATTTTAGATCATTGATTTTTTTTTGCAGCATATATAACTTTTGGGGTTTTATTTCCTTACAATGTTATGTAGAAATTTGCTTTGCTGTCTCAATTAGGTATCTGTCTTTCTGTCCTTGCCTTCCTTCCTGTCTTTCCTGCGTGCCTGCCTTCCTTTCTTCCTTGCTTCCCTCCCTCCTTCCTTCCTTCCTTCCTTCGACTGTGGATGGAAGAAAGTGTGCAGTTTTTAAGGATTTTATTTAGGTTTGTCTTTGGGTTTCCTCAGTAAGATAGTTATTTTTTAGTAGCCAAGTTTGAGAGTAATTCATATCAAATTCAGGTATTTGATTATTACTCTTGAATTTGTCTGAAATTCACTTTGCTATGAGAGCTTAGTATTTGGGTCTTCACTCCTTAACTTTTTGTTCTTCCCATGGTTAAAATATATGAACTTTAGTTCTATTAGCAAACATTCAAAGGTCCATGATAGGGCTTGTCACAGAGAGTGAGAAATCATTTATGCCTACTGTAACTGGTTAGCATAGATAAAAGGGATTGCTTCATCACTTTATAGAACCAATTTACAAACTAAAACACTATTTTAAGAAAGTATAAACTACCTTTCAAATGGGCTTCAAGAAATCATTTTGAAGAGCAGCAAATATTAGGAAGAGAGCAGATACGGAATTTAGTGCCTTTGAAAAGAATATAACTAAGTGGAATTAAAATGGGTTGGAAAAAGGCAATTTAGAGAAATATTCTTGTAAACTTTTATCGTTTCTATATGTGAAACAACAGATTAGACAAATTGCTTACTCTTAAGTATTTTTTTAAGCTGAAAAAATTTATTTTGAGCAAATAACCAAAAAGAGACATTTGTCTATTTTATATTAATTTAAATTTGTTAGCTTTAGGTTTCAATAAGTCCTGATTGGCCAGAGACAATTTTAGCTACCATCTAAAGATATGATAAAGATAATCTAGTGAAACAAAAGTTCATATATGCCATGATTTCAGATATGTTTGTCATGGGGATGATAGTAGAGTTTTAGAGATACTATAAAATAGCTCGAATCTCTTTCTGCACTACATAGTTTTGATAGAAACACATTTACTATGTTGATAAGATGTTATGTTACAACTGTAAAAATGGAGTTGGCATTCAGATACGCTATAGTTAGAGCCCAGCTCATTTGCAAGGCTCATCTTCCCATGATGCATACAAAGAAAGCTTACTGATCCCCTGGAAAAATGACAGATGATTCTGGAAAAAAATGACCTTCATTTAATGGTGATAAAATACATATATCTATATATATATTTGGAAAAATATATATAATTTTTCAAGTAGGAAGCCAGTATATTGTATGATGAATGAAAGTATGCTGCAGAATATATATTCTAAAACTATAAGAAATGTCACTGAATATCAAAATGAAATAGTTTATACATATATAGTTACTGTGACAAGTGACAGACGGCTAATTCAGAATTCAAAACTCCTTTTCTAGTTTGTGAAGATAATTGGCTCAATTCCTTCTGCTTGCCACTGGGGCAAAGCAAACTAACTGCTTTAGTATTTGATGGGAGTGCTTAGAAGTTTGTTGGTGTTCCTTCATCCACAGCATCCATTGTTGAAATAACCATTTTCAGTTGTGATGCCTTAACTAAGAAGCCAATTGTTAGCCTGAAATGCAATCTTGGTAGCCAGTTCCACTGAATCTAGCGATTTTAGTCAGAAAAAGTTAGCTGTTGGGCTTTAGAAAGGGATTCTGAATCCTGTCATTTCTACTTGGGAGCATTTTGGAGCAGATTAGTCTTTCAGTCTAAAAACAAGTGGCTACCTGATAGAAACTTTTTCTTGCCCTTATAGGGAAACTGAGCACAAGCTGAATGATATTGTCTGCTGCAAAAAAAAAAAAAAAGTAAAACAAACAAACTGAAGAGAGACAAAATAGACCAATATTGTTGTGAAATCCATGTTATCCATCATCTCATCAGTTCAACTGGCTCCTCGTCCTGGGTGAGCTTATGGTTAGAAGTTTTTTTAAAGCAAAGATCTATTACATACATATATGTATGTGTGTATACATATATTTACACATACATACATACATACATACATATGTGTGTGCTTATGTATTTAACGGTGCTAATCAATCTTGAGCAGGTCACGTGACTGGTCATGCGGACTCTAAAATCATATCAGATTTTTAAAAATCCTTGATATATGCAGATGTTATACAGATTTTCTTACCAGTGTAATAATGTTATACTGAAGAAATAACCATCCTGCAGGCTTCAAAGGACGAGGTCAGCAATATTTCCCACCATGGCTTGGGGGAAAAGGATAGTTTTGTCTCCTTTTGTATTCAAGTTTAACGCACAGTGCATTTTTGTCTCTAAGTAGCTGTTGACTAAAAGACTTTGTAGTGTAAAGGGTGTTATACAAACTGTAATGGTGTGCTTCAAACAGACAAATGCTAGACCTTTTCACGTTTGTTGTATATTACAAAGCTGTTAAATATGTGGTATGAATTAACTTTGAACATGTTAAAATATGTAGCATGTGTCTTTAACTCAGATGAAGATTCTAATTGCACAGGTTATGTTCTAGCCAGTTGTGGTTTATTTGTTCAGAAACACAAATGTGAATTGCACTCTTATCGCCAGAATATTGTATAAGTTCAGTGATCTTTAAACAGCTCAGAAGTAATACTTGAACTTCATTTGAGTAGCACAAAGTTTACATAGCCCCTTTTAAATGTTAATTAGTTCCATTTAAGTTTTCCGTTTTCAAATGCAGCTGTGTATTTTTCCTCTTGGAAAATAGTACTCACTTTACTTTGGTATGTAGCAAAAGGCTTCCATTTCTGGAAGGGTTTTCTTGTTTTAAAACAAGGTCAGCCAGGTACCAGATTCTAAGAGAACAATTGTCCCCTCCACCCCTCAAAGTGGCCTTCTGACTGCATGAGAATGTGTTACTTCCCTCTGTAGTCTCCCCTACCATGTGAGGTTGGTGAAATTGATGGAGGAAGTGCAAGGCTTGCTCTTTCCCCCACCCCACCCCACCCCACTTAAAGTAGTTATAAGAGTTTCAGTCGAGCACATTCAGTCCCAATGCCCAGCACACCGAAGTTTGTATACTGGCCTCTTTTCTTGTCTTCAAATGTGCAGGAAATTTGAAACTGTCATCTGGAATAGGTTCCACCTCTTATGTGTGTTAGATCAAACCAAAGAAGCCCCCAGCCATGCCCAAATGCTGCTCCAAAAGCCTGCCTTCCAGTCCTTACAAAAACCTTGCAGGATTAAATGTGTTAACTTTTTTATTTTTGTACAGTTTCTAAGTGATTTTTGCTAGTGATGTTAAATTGAATTAAGTTTATTTGAGGGGTGTGAGCACCTCCTCCATTTAAATAAACTGGTGACTTTCCTTTTATTTTTTAAAAGTGGAAACCCGTTGTGTGCCTCTCGATTTAAGGGTTTCTGATTACATTATTCTCAAGACCAGCATTGATCCTTTATATACAAAGATATGTTTTCCTTGTTTTTTATTACTATTTCAGAAGAAAATGAACCTTTTATTTTGCTCTGGACCCAGTAAATACGCTGGTACATAGACGCACTGAGAAAACAAACTTTTGTAACCACCTCTGACTGCTTTTGTATATCAAAGTTGATTACTTTTGAAATATTTGGATCTAGTTTCTAAGTTATTTTAGTGTTTTATAATGTTCCCCGAAATTACTTTGAATCGGTCACCAGCATAATGAGTTTTTGGTGATACAATGGTGAGACTTGTAATGAGCAAAAAGCTACCTGGAGTAGCTCTTCTTTTCCTTCTTTCTTAGTAACCTGTTTTTTGATTACAGTAAGACATCACAGATTACCTGAAACCCTTTCCAGTATAAGTAGGCCCTCCTTCCTTCCACATTTAATTGCTTAATAGTTTGAAGAAACTATTGGAAATGGGCATTTTATATGAAACGAATGGCTTTAAAATATTAAAAACGAGCAAAAAGAAAAAAATAAGAGAAGGTTTATGTGGGTCTGTAAGGTATGGCTGTGGAAAGATATTGTAGTAGTTTTGACACTATTGTTATTACCTTTAAAATCATTTACCCAATAAAATGTTAAAAACGACTTATCATTTGTTTGTTGCTTCTTTTTTGAATTTAACCTGCCTCATCATAAGATGTTGGTTTCCTCAGTATTTCTTACTAAAAGGTTAACGGTTGAAGACTCTGAAATAATATAGTTAGGGACAGATACTGATTTATTTCCAAACAAGCACTTGGGAAACCTCACCTGCCTGCAGCTGTTCCCTACCATGTGATTTGCCGATGTCATCCTTTTGTCTAGCCCTGAATCCTGGCGTGGTGATTACAGGTTACCCTTTATTTTGGACATTCTAACCTGACCACTAATCCGAGGCAAGCATCAGACTTGAATTCTAGTGGGAGCCTAGCTGTGTTTAACCCCACTCCAGATATCTTCCAAACCAGTCAGTGGGTATTGGGCACTTCCCCTTTGTGAACTGGTGGGGGGCTATAGCAGTGCTATCCAGTGAAACCATCTGATAAGGCGGGAACCCCTTCTTCTGCCATCAAGGCTTGGCCATTTTCTGAGTATGGGACAGCATCTGAAAATGCTCAAGATGTGGCCACCCAGAGCTTGTACACACTCATGCACATGCTAGGCATACCACATACTTAAACTTTTAAGTTACTTTTCCAGTTCCAGATTGGTACCCCCCAACTTGAGCTTAGGGAAACCACCTGAGTGTAGGGTAGAACAACTGGTGATACTGACTTTCAAGAGCCAGATAAGAGCCTCCATCAAGAAAGGAATCTCTTGGGGTGCTACCTCTGTCAGCTGTTGCCTCATTTCTTTCTTGATGAAAAGGCGATCAAGGACATTGTTGAAATATTTCTGGCTCTTCCTTAATCATTTACTGTCTCACTTTAATCATGCACATTTTGGGATTAGTTGCTAGTTGAATATATCCAGGACAATTTTCTGTTACATTGCCCCAAAGCTCTGGTTACCATGTGAATTTTATGACATGTGCTTATGTCAGTCACAGTCGCTAAAAACAGCCATCTCAGATCCTAGAGGGCTACTGCGGTTTTGCATAGTGCTCCATAAAGGCAGCCATCTGTTCAGGGTTTACCCATTTTCATCATTCATGTTTAATGGGACATAAGATTTTTTAATGATTTAGACAATATTAATAGGTTCAGGTGGAATGAAGTAATTTAATGAGCCCACAGAATTCTTTTTAATAGCATTAGTGGTTAACTCAATGGTCTGGACCAATTTCAACTTCAGTAATCACACTCTACCTCCCTAAATTCTTCCTACAGTTTCAGCACTTCCTCTTTAGATTTAATGCCCCACTGGACACCGTGTAAGGAGCTCTGCTGCTTCCGAGGGCAAGCACAGTTGTGTGGGATGAGGCAGTTCCTGTCTGTTGATGGGAAATACTGTCATATCCAAGGCATCCTATTAGTGCGACCTAGGGGGGAGTGTGCTGTGGGTAAATTACTCCTGGATTCAGAGCTGCCAACCACGCCAGCCAGTGAATGACTGCCCACTCTGACAATGGCTTCTCCCACTTTCTGCAGCTCTGACAGCATGAGCCGAGACAAGTGTGGGTTTGGGTTGGTTAATCTCTGATAGCTTCCCATCTGTTTGCTCAGGCATTTTGCCCTCAGGAGGAAGAACTGAATGGGAGGATGCAACTGAGCCAAGCAATAGGGTATACTGTTTTTGGCTACTACATTAAAAAGCCTTCCTTGACACCTGTAGCCCTTTGGGACAATCTTGTGTCCCAACCCACAAACCTGTTAGAAGAAATCTTTCAAGAACCAGAAGGAATTTCATTAGTTCCCCAGCACTGTTCTGAAGCCGGTCTACCTCCTCATCCTAAGAACTTGGTTATTTAAAAATGACCCCTTAATAAAGAAAATGTGGTGTATATACCCAAAGGAATACTATTTAGCCATAAAAAGAATGAAAATCCTGTCATTTGCTACAACATGGATGAGCCTGGAAGATGTTCTGTTAAGTGAAATAAGCCAAACATAGATAAATACTGCATGTTCTCATTCATATGTGGGAGCTAAAAAAGTGGACCTTATGGAAGTAGAGAGTACAATAGTGGATACTAGAGGCTGGGATAGGTAGGGCGTGGGGGAGTAGAAAGAGGTTAGCGAATCCAAAATCACAGCTAAATAGGAGGAGTAAGTTCTAGTGTTCTATAGCACTACAGGGTGACTATAGTTAACAGTAGTTTATTGTCTGTTTTCAAATAGCTAGGGAAGAGGATTTTGAATGTTCCCACCACAAAGAAATGATAAATGTTTGGGGTGATGGATATGCTAATTACCTTGATTTGACCACTACACATTGTATGTATCAAAACATTACTATGTACCCCACACATATGCACAATTATTGTGTGTCAATAAAATGTTTAAAAATGACCTTTTAATGTATTGTGTTTGGAGGGTATTGACTATGTATCTCAAATTGTTAACTACTTCGGTACGGCACTCACCGGCCGCGAAACCTTGCCCACTGCCAGCACTTATAATCCACATGATAGTGTGTGCTGTCCATTCACCACGAATCCGTTTTGCTCTTGTGTGATGAGGAAAGCTTTAAAGCACTGAAAGCTTGTTTTACTTTACAGGCAGCTTTAGGAAAATAACTATAATAACTCCTACTAAGGACTTGTTAAAAGGTCACAGATTCGTAGTAACTTATTAGCTGAACATACACACTGCAACTGCAGAGAGAAAAGCAAAGGCTTTTGGCTGTCAACTTGCTGTGGGCCTTCATATCACGGCTGTCAGCTAAAGTCACTGTGCGCGTTCATCTGTGGCTGTTGACTATAGTCCACGCTTGTCCCGAAGTGGTTAAATGGACCCACCCAGAGAGCTGGTGGAGGTGCGTGCTTTACATAAGCCAATGCTGACCTGCACTTGCAGGTTTCCACCATGACAGATATTTAGTTCAACAGAGGTGAGATGCTGAGCGCACTAAGTCCAGAGCAGACAGCTGGGCGATGGCGGCATTATGTGCCTCTGCACTCACCAGCTGCCATGGCATCCTTGAGCTCATGCTCTCTTTCTAAAAGGACACGTCCAAGTCACAAGGGGTGCATAATCTGTTCACTCATTAGTCTCCCTCCATGGTGGGAGAAAAAGCAGCTTTGTTTTTTAATCAAAATTGTACCTGGCACCTCATTATGTTAAAGATAGGAGACTAGGCCGGGCGCGGTGGCTCACGCCTGTAATCCTAGCTCTCTGGGAGGCCGAGGCGGGCGGATTGCTCGAGGTCGGGAGTTCGAAACCAGCCTGAGCAAGAGTGAGACCCCCGTCTCTACTATAAATAGAAAAACTAATTGGCCAACTAATATATATAGAAAAAATTAGCCGGGCATGGGGGCTCATGCCTGTAGTCCCAGCTACTTGGGAGGCTGAGGCAGGAGGATCACTTGAGCCCAGGAGTTTGAGGTTGCTGTGAGCTAGGCTGACGCCAGGGCACTCACTCTAGCCTAGGCAACAAAGCGAGACTCTGTCTCAAAAAAAAAAAAAAAAAAAAAAGAGACTAAAAGCAGTATTTCATTGCTATCAAGTACAATTGTGTACAAGTTCTAACGTTAAGGAGAACAACAAGGCTATTTTGATGACTCTAAAATTTTGTAATTGGGGTGATGAATGACAGTTGCAGTTATAGTCTCAGCACTCAGTTTATTTCTATGTTTTGGCTGTGCAACAGCAAGAAGGTCTTGATTTGCACAGAGAAGAAGGGGTGTCTTGCTTGTATAATTTTCTGAAAGTGGATATGTATAAGTCTAAATTGTAAAGACCCGGTGTACTCACATCCTTCTGAAGCAGTGAACCAAGGCTTACAAGGAATTCAGGCAGGAGAAGCATCACTCTGCAGGTTTGAACAGAAATGAGTCAACCCTAGGGCTCCTGCTAACCCACTGGTGGTCTTCAATTGCCATTCTGGATGTAGTATTTGCTAGGTTTGTTTTTTGGAGGTTTTTTATTAGTTTTAAAATATTACACATTTAAACCACGTGGGTTTTTGAATGAAACGTTTATGTAAACCGGGAGCAGTTCCAACAGAACCCCAGGATCTCACAGGACAATCTGAAAACCACTGCTGGAGCCCCAACATGCCCAGTTATTTTGAGAGCCTTTGGGAAGCCGTCATTTGATGAAATAACAGCTTTTTTTTCCTTTTGGCCTTTTCCTCCCAAATGTCAGGCTCAATGTGATCCGTCAATATTTATTGAGTGCCAATCCCCCCAGAGGCACAGCACTATGGTTGGTTTCAGAATGAATATAGTATAATTTTGTAAAGCAAATTAACAATCCACTCTGGGGTAAGAGTTGGGAGGGGCATACAATTTGATCTGGTTGGGGAAAATCCTTCAGTCCAGGGCCCAGGCAACATTGGGCTGGCTTTATAGGGTTTCACAAAATGTCTTCCACCTCGGAGTGGCAATAGAGCATAATTGTAGCTGCCCCTGTTGGGAAATGACATTTCTTTGGCCCTCCCTCCAACATGTCAGTGCCAGAAACCACCCCATACTGGGCATGATCGTGATTTCTTGCGTGGTGGAGGAGATTGTTTCTGTTCTCACAATGTGGCTGTCTTGTTTCTTAGCGGGCATGTGCACGGTGGCTGGAAGAGAAGTTATGTGATTGTATAAGAAATAGGTTTGGGGACGTGCAGGAAGGCACTGGGTGGCTGAAAGTCATGTTCCTTACTGTGAAGCTGCCCTCTCAAAGCTATCAGGCCCTTCCCATGACCAGGAGAGCAGTAAGAAGAGACAGAAGCTAGACCTCCAAGATGCTGCCTTGAGGCCTGAAGAGGAGAAGAAAGTTTATATATGCTCACTGGTTGAAAATTACCCCATAGGGGGGAAAAACATTCATGGGGAAGGAGGAGAGAAAAGATAGTAAGGGTCAACCACATAGAAAGGAAAATCAGAGTGACTTTCTAAATTACCTGCTACGTAGAAAGGGCAGGAAGGCAGTATTAAATTTGGGACATTGTAAAACAGGAAGCACAACTGGTACACAATAGAATGTTTAAATCACTTTTTAACTGACAGGAAG